AGGGAGGGAGGGAAGGAAGGAGAGAGACAGAAAAAGGAAGGAAGGAAGGAGGGAGGGAGAAAGGTAAGAAGGAAGGAGGAAGGAAGGGAGGGAGAGAGAGAGAAAAAAGGAAGGAAGGAAGGAAAGAGGGAGAGAGAGAGAAAGGAAGGGAGGAAGGGAGGAAGGAAGGAAGGAAGGAAGGAAGGAAGGAAGGAAGGAATGGAGGAAGTCTGGGAGAGTAGCGCGGGCGTCCCTTTAGAACATAGAATCACAGGGCTGGAAGGGACCTCAGAGGTCATCTAGACCAACCCAACCGTTCCCAACTGCCTCAGATCAGGCTGATCAGAACAGAGGCATCAATCATAGCCTCTTCAAGGCAAATTAAGGGGTTTTTTTTGAGACAAGGCACAAGAATTCCAAACTTGGCCCCCGACTTTACCGAAATAAAATCCCGGCTTCCCCTTGATCTTCTGGAAGAATTCCCCGTGGGCTCTCGCATGGACGTCCGCCCCGTTCTTGACCAAGAGGTTGACCAGGTACATGTTGCGTCTCTCGATGGCGATGTGGAGGGCCGTCTGACCTGCAAAGGCACCCATTAGATCAGGCTTTCTCAACATTGGCAGCTTGAAGAGGCTTCAACTCCCAGAATGCCACAGCCAACATCTGTGGACTTCAACTCCCAGAATTCTGCTGGCTGGGGTCCTTCTCACTCAATGTTTGAAGGTCTAGTTCAGGGGCCTTCAAACTTGGCCCTTTCAGGACTTGTGGACTTCAACTCCCAGAATTCCTCAGCCAGCATGCCTGGCTGAGGAATTCTGGGAGTTGAAGTCCACAAGCAGGGGTCTTCCAACTTGGCCCTTTTAGGACTTGTGGACTTCAACTCCCAGAATTCCTCAGCCAGCTCAGCTAAGTAACCTCCAAGGACCCCACTATTTCACACAGCCTGTCATCTTCTTGTCAGAGGGGGGTCAATCTAAGGATTTCACCCCACCTGAGGTTTGAAGGGAAAGGTATCCCAAAAACCACATTGTTAAGGCACATTTTGGAGACCCGGAAGGAAGGATGGCCTCATGAAGAAAAATCAAGGAAAGGAGACCCCAAGGTGATTATAAAACTTCCGTTTTGATTTGAGATCACAGCCGAATTGGGTCAGGTAGAGGCTGGGTGGCTGTCAATTGGTCAGGGTGCCATAGGTACTAGTAATAGTAATAGTAATAGTAATAGTAATAGTAATAGTAATAGTAATAGTAATAGTAATAGTAATAGGAAGAAGAAGAAGAAGAAGAAGAAGAAGAAGAAGAAGAAGAAGAAAAGAAGAAGAAGAAGAAGAAGAAGAAGAAGAAGAAGAAGAAGAAAGAAGAAGAAGAAGAAGAAGAAGAAGAAGAAGAAGAAGAAGAAGAAGAAGAAGAAGAAGAAGAAGAAGAAGAAGAAGAAGAAGAAGAAGAAGAACTACCACTGATCAAGTGTTCTAACTGTCACGAAGTTTCTCCTTAGTTCTAGGAGAAACTTCCTGACAGTTAGAACAATTGACCAGTGGAACAACTTGCCTCCAGAAGCTGTGAATGCTCCAACACTGGAAGTTTCTAAGAAGAAACCGGACAGCCATTTGTCCGAAATGGGATAGGGTTTCCTGCCTGAGCAGGGGGTTGGACTAGATGATCTCCAAGGTCCCTTCCAACTTTATCATTATTATTATTATTATTATTATTACTACTACTACTACTACTACTACTACTACTACTACTACTACTAATATTACTACTACAACTACAACAATTACAACAGAGTTGGAAGGGACCTTGGAGGTCATCTAGTCCAACCCCTTGCTCAGGCAGGAAACCCTATGCTCATTTCAGCCAAATGGCTCTCCAGCCTCTTCTTAAAAACTTCCAATGTTGGAGCATTCACCGCTTCTGAAGGCAGGTGTATCTAACAGGCAGTCCTCGACTTACGCCCAATCACTTAATGACTATTTGAAGTTGCAATGGACCCCTCTGGGAATACGTACGACCCAGATTCAAAATCCCGACGGCCGCACCCCCCACCCCATTTGTAGCGTTCCATGGTCACGTGACCACATTTGATGAGTTTTGCTTCCTCTTTTCAACAAAAATCAGGCCCTGCTGGTTCTCTTAACGACCCTAGCTTTCGCTTAACGACTGACAAAAATCGGTGGTGGGGTGACCCAATTGATGACCGTTCCAAAACCCGGTGACCCGGTTTACGACCATCACATGTTACGAGCACGATGGGCAGGCTGCATTATGCCTGTACCTGGAGGGGTACCTTCTACCGCAGTGATGTGGGGGGTTGGACTTGATGACCTTTAAGGACCCCGTCCTCCCTTCCGTGCTACAGCTCCCAAAGCATTACAAATCCCCGAGGAACTGCTCTCCTCCATCCCCGTCTTTACCCCGGTAATAGCTGTCTGTGTATCCGGTGTTCACAAACTCCTTCAGGTTCTCCGTCTTCTCCGCAATCTCCAGCAAGACAGGGATGGTGTCGTTGCGGCCGTTGTGGAGGTTGAGCATGGCCTTCAGCAGGCAGGTCTTGCCAGTGTCGGGCTCTGAGAATTGAGAAACGGGACGGGAGAAACAGAGATGAGGTCAAAAAAGTCAAGATGGTGGCCCACAAGACCGTCCGAGGTCCAGCAGTTTTTTTTATGGGCTGGTTTTACACCTTTTTTGTAGGTTTTTGTGTCTTCATGTGTGCTTTTAATGCTGCCATGTGCATTTTACGCTTCTATGTGCATCTTATGCCTTTATGTGCATTTTTAAGGCAGCCGTGTGCTTTATGATTCTATGTGCATGTTATGCCTTTATGTGTGCTTTTAATGCTTCCAGGTGAATTCTTATGCCTTTATGTGCATTTTTAACGCAGCCATGTGAATTTCATGATGCTATGTGCATCTTATGCCTTTATGTGTGCTTTTAATGCTGCCATGTACATTTTATGCTTCTATGTGCATGTTATGCCTTTATGTATGTTTTTAATGCTTCTATATGCTTCTATGTGCATCTTATGCCTTTATGTGCATTTTTAAGCCAGCCGTGTGCTTTATGATTCTATGTGCATGTTATGCCTTTATGTGTGCTTTTAATGCTTCCAGGTGAATTCTACGTTTCTATGTGCATGTTATGCCTTTATGTTTGTTTTTAATGCTTCTATATGCTTCTATGTGCATCTTATGCCTTTATGTGCATTTTTAATGCAGCCATGTGAATTTCATGCTATGTGCATCTTATGCCTTTATGTGTGCTTTTAATGCTGCCATGTACATTTTACGCTTTTATGTGCATGTTATGCCGTTATGCCTTTATGCCTGTTTTTAAAGCAGCCATGTGCATTTGTATGTTTTATGTGCATGTTATGCCTTTATGTGTGTTTTTAATGCTTCCATGAGCCATTTTCTGTACATTTTGTATGCTGTTATGCTGGCTTTATGTGATTTTTCCCCCCTGCTTTTTCTCTGTTTTAATGCCTCTCTGTGCCTTTCTATGCATCTATGTATGATTTGTGCTTTTATGTGTGTTTTTATGTTTCCAGGCATATTTTTATGCTTTGATGTTATATTCCATATTCTGATGTGAATTTTATGTGGATTTTTTCCTGCCTTGTGCCTATGTACATTTTTATACAATACATTTTTATACCTTTATAGCTTTATGCCAACTTGAACAGCAAAGTATTGTAACACTAATGTTTCTCTCACTCACCTTTAAACTCCGCATCGGTTAAGATTTTTAACGATTCCAGCAGGAAGATCAGCAAATCATCCAATTGGCTCGGGTCTCCTTGCGCTACAGCATCAAAGAGACTCCTCCGGTCGTATAGCTTAAAAGCTTTCCCAGCACATACCCCGATGGATGCTGTGGACAATAGCCTGCCGAAGGAAAGGGAAGGGGATGAGATTTGCTAATTGATTGATTGATTAAATTTATATGCCTCTCATCGCATTGCTGAAGCGACTCTGCTGATTGTCGGCGGTAACTGGAAGCCCACTTTCCCTGCATCTCTTATAGGAGAGTCATGTCACTTCGTGGTCGCCAAAATCGCGAGTCTAAAGAGACTCCTCTGATTGTATATCTTGAAAGCTTTCCCAACACATACCCCGATGGATGCTGTGGACAGTAGCCTGCTGAAGGAAAGGGAAGGGGATGAGATTTGCTAATTGATTTATTGATTGATTAAATTTATATGCCTCTCATCGCACTGCTGAAGCGACTCTGCTGATTGTTGGCGATAACCAGAAGCCCACTTTCCCTGCATCTCTGATAGAATTATGTCACTTTGTGGTCGCCAAACTCGAGAGTCTAAAGAGACTCCTTCGATTGTATAACTTGAAAGCTTTCCCAGCACATACCCCGATGGATGCTCTGGACAGTAGCCTGCCGGAGAAAAGGGGAGGGGATGAGATTTGCTGATTAATAATAATAATAATAAAGTTGGAAGTGAGCTTGGAGGTCATCTAGTCCAACCCCCTGCTGAAGGGAAGGGGAGGGGATGAGATTTACTGATTGATTGATTGATTGATTAAATTTATATGCCTCTCATCACACTGCTGAAGCAACTCTGCTGATTGTCAGTGGTAACCAGAAGCCCACTTTCCCTGCATCTCTGATAGGAGAGTCATGTTCCTCTGCGGTCGCCAACCACTTTGATAACCACTTTTCAAGCTGATACCCAGGGGAGTCCTCAACTTACAACCATTCGTTTAGTGAGCATTCTCAACTTACAACCATTCGTTTAGTGAGCATTCAAAGTTGCAATGGCACTGGAAAAAAAGTGACTCATTTGAAAATAAAACTGCCAAATGCCCCCAAATCTTTGATGTTTCTCTTTTCCAATATGGCATTGTTGGATCTCGTTCCAACCTGGAGAAAGGAAATGCCCAGATTGTTTATTTATTTATTATATCCTACTTTTATTATTTTTATAAGTATCACAAGACACCAAATGTACATACCATTTCTTGCTACTCCTATTGTCCCCACAACAACCCTAGGAAGTGGGTTGGGCTCAGAAAGAGGGACTGATCCAAAGTTGCCCAGCCGGCTTTCACAACTAAGGTGGAACTAGAACTCACCGGCTCCTGGTGATTGGCCCAAAGTCACCCAGCTGGCTTTTGTGTCTAATGTGGGACTAGAACTCTTTGTCTCCTGGTGACTGGCTCAAGGTCACACAGCAAGCTCTCATGCCTAAGGTGGGAGTAGAATTCACAGTCTCCTGATGACTGGCCCAAAATCACTCAACCAACTTCCAT